TGAAGAGGTGGACAGCTCGTGCAGCGCTTGCTCGGCAAGCCCTGGAAACCAGAATTCAAGGTCGTCAGTGAGCGACGTGAGCAACACAGGGCAGTCAAGCATAAATCCTAAATATCGTCTTCGACTCAAGCCTAGGTGGTGGTGTTCACCACTTGGGCTATCCTCAGCACAGGGGGTCCCAAAGGAGTGAGCAGAGCTTTGATTGTTCCTTATCCTTCCATTTTTTTCTGTGCTGAAGCTATTCAATACGCCTAGACTGGTGGAAAAGGTTTTAGTCTTTGAGCTGCGCAGATGCACCTTGTGGCCACCGATACTGAGAAGCATGGCGTTAGAAAAGAGGGGAGGGCTACCAAGTGGCACAATGGAAAAGCCACCACATCACTAGGAGCAAGATACATATAGAAGAGGATTCAAGACCGCCACGCACTACAGCAAAAAATACGTGATTTCTTTCTTTCGACGCCCCTCGGCCTACTGTTTCCGGATAAAGTTGAGATAGTGCCATACCGCGGAGAAAAAACAATGCAGATGCTTTGGCAAAATGGGCCCTAGCTAGCAGCATCCCTGCTGTCATTTCTCAGTCTCACGTGCACTGGCATATCGTGAGCCTATTTCTGGGCAACTGCGTCGATTAATCGTGCACTGCATGCTGTGTACTACTACACTCGGACATGTCGGACATCCAGCAATAGCTTTTGGTAAACTTCAGAACGTTACACATCCTACCAGCGGGCGTGCAGTGGGTGATGTAGCTCATCTATACTCTATTCAAAAATACCGACATTAGCCCTTTGCACTACTCTTGTCGAAAAACAACGTATAGCACGGCCGAGGCACAACAGGAGTTAGACCTACACACATTTGACGATTGGTATCAAAACACATAGCAATACTCGCAGGTAGGAAATGTATAAATCCTCTGTAAAATCCAGGTTGTTTTCAAAATCATCAGGAATAAATTGCTCGCGCCTCTTACAAGAGCCTTAAGCATCATAACCTACTTTGTGCAGTATCGGCTTACCATCCAAGAGATATGCGTCACTGCAAAAGTAAATATCACACTACGGCGCTCGACTTTATAGACGCAGCTATATTTTGTGGTTCTTGTTCTCTATTCAAATATGAATATTCCCCATAGGTTTCCTGGAGTCAGATATGTCTAGCGGAGTCTAGAAGGGACTACCGCCCAACAGGAGTGCTCGAGCAGTACCATTTTTTTCCATTTTTTCCTTTCGGCCCAAACTATCGACTGTAAACATGTAACTGTTCTGGGAATGCTCTTCTGCGACAGCATTGTCAATACTTCCTGCGTCCAGTCTCTCGACTCACAGAAGGGGCCGAAGATGAAAGATATATGCAAAAGCCCGAGTTCTGCAAAATTATCATCAGGTCTGAATATGAGATGCCGGAAAGAAATGAATAGCAACATGGGGCCACTAAGTGGTGGCTTCATGCCGCTAAGAAAAAATCGTTGCAGGCTCTGACTTGAACAAGAGTGAACGCTTCAACAAAGGTTTCCGCAGGAGGACTTTTACCACCAGCTTCGATATAAGCTTAGCAGGAGATCATTGAGTGTTTTAGAGAAGAAATCACGCTCTGCAGCCCTCCTCAAGTTTTCCGACATGTGGGGAAGGGACAGCTTGGGTGAGATCTCGACATACGAAAACACAAACCAATCCGTTAATGCTTTATATGGTTCTCAGTTACCCACAAGTCGTGTATCATATCGGGTTGAAGCGCAGCGTGCTACATCTTCTCTCTTAATTTCAGAATGCCCGCCCATGTCTAACCTAGTTTTTCGTCGAGAATAACTACCTACAGGACAGTGGTAGAGCTTCCGCCCTATCGACCTTGCCTAGGCAAACAGAACAGCGAAAAAGAGACCAAATTATTCAAGCAAATGTTTACATTGACCGGATTAGTGAAATTGACAAGAAAAACAAGTACACTAGCCAACAAAAAGCGTGGGACCACATTCATATAGCCACGCCAGTGTTATGCCTCTTTATCGTGAAAGTGCAGAAAATATATGCTCCTCCTGCTATGAGAAAACAAGAAGCAAGTGAAATCTTGAAAGACAAACACGATACATTGTACTCCAACAGTGTATCCGCACCCAGTAAAGTAGTCATTGCTCGCAAATACATTTGGTTCATGCAGCACGGTCAACTTCTAGGCCCCAAAAGATGCATAAGGAAGAATGTTTGGATAGGCAACATAAGTATGCTTGCGCAGAATTCTGAGTATAGAAACAAACGAACAGTGATAACGCGGAACAGAAAAAATCTTTTGCGCTTTTGTGGGAGTCTTACCATGGCCAGAAAGAGCATGATCATGTACTGTGCGCAAGACGGCACGGCGGGGCGAAGTTGGAATGCACAAGCGACGGCATCTACGCCTTGTCCTGGACAGCAGGTCAGCCTCCACGTGGTAGTGCTTTACCCTTTTGCCGTTCGCGACTGAGCATCAGTTGCGGATGCATGGGTGTCAAAAGTAAAGTATATACAACACGACACAAACCTTGAATTCTCATCAACACGATCCATTGAGCTGCACAACATTCAATCGCTGGAGAGTCACGAGACCGTGTCAGGTGACCGCCTGGGTGATCAGCTCGATATACTTTACCCTGAGCTCCTAGTGCAGAACATGCCCAAGCCAGCGAACAAATCTAGGATTAACAATGTTCTAAACTTTTGGGGTGGTACAACAAGCACTGTCGGTCAGCCTGGACAGTGAAATGACTCCCATATAAATAGTGCCGACACTTTGCTCACCACCCCTAAGCCGCAGAGAGTTCTCTCTCCTGCACTGGTTATCATTGCTCGGTTTCGGTCAAGGGATGCAAATACCAATAATTGATTTGGCGTTTTGAAGATTCCGTAGCCTGTTAAATGAAAATAGCATCCACGGCTACCTCGCTGGCACTGGGTACAAAGCAGAACTGACGCTCATACTCAGGCAGAGGGACTATTGGAGGTTGTAAGGCGACCAGAAACCTTATTTGCTGCGGCACGAGCGTCCTCTGTCCGACTCAACGACTACGCTTTCAAGTAGCTCGGTCAAAGGAACACGGATCCGACCAACTTCACGAATGACATTTCAGTGTTATGATCAAGCCTGTAGTGCTTGCCAACGTGCTTTCGGTTGCGTGGAAACAAAGGCCATCCCTTGGGGGAATCAACCTTTGTAGAATCGGATTCAACTTTCGCAGTCAAAATATGGAACCCCAGAACGACAGCAGGCATCACGAAAACCAACACCTACGTGCCTTTACGTATCACTGCGTGTCACGCAAGCTAGAACGCATGCGGCAGCTTCTAGAGGTGCTTTCGAATGTTCCGGCTGAGTGCTAGAAGGTGATCTATATGAGTAGCCATCTCTCACTCGCTGAAAGGTTCTTTGACACTTTGATGTTGCCATTGCAGCTCAGCTGAGGCATTAGCAAGTCTATAGGCTTACTGCCCTACGCGAGTTTGCGAGTGAAAGTATGGAACAGTGTTTCGCACTTGTTATCAGGGAGCATAAAAATTGTTGAAAGGAAAGGTTTAGTCAAGTAACCTGTCGAGTGGACTACCGAGCCTTGTAGTATGTCGAGTGGTTCGTCTATACGAGACATGTCAAAACTCTGCTTCATATGATTGTTTCTGTGACACAGAGTTGACGCACGTGAGCCCCCCTCACTCTCCTTTTAGCAAGATCACCGAATTGTGTCTAACGCCGCTGGTCGATTCCTCAAATTTGAAATTTTTAGACGTATCATCCACCTGCCGCTCAGCCCCCTCGCCACTATGCGGGAGCTTTCCATATCGCTAAATAAAGCTTGGGGCAGACGAATGCACTAGCGCAATGCGGTGCACTAGACATCAAGCAAGCGTTCATACTGCTGGCAGCTCGTCATCACTTGGCCTCTGCACAGGCTACTTCTTCTAATTTGCCCATCCCTGTTGTCACTCGGCTGAAAGGTCAAAGCGTATTTTCTGGTGCGTAACCGGTTGCAGGTATACTACCAAAGCCCTTCCAGACTGCGGCCTTGGCGCAGAGCCCTAGAGCACTAGGTCATCCTGCCTGGATCCGGCTGTCGGTACAAAAAGATCTGTGGCTCTCAGACTCTGATTCACAGCAGTCCAGCGCTCCGGAACAGACAACGGTTGTAGGTGAACCTACAAAAGATGCCTGATTTCGGAAAAGTTATTTGAATAAATTGGTAAGCCAATTTCGTTGAAAATCTGTGACAAAACTCTCTGACAATGTCAGCTGACGGTGGCACCACGCCTATTGGGACGGCGGATGCCCGCCTGCAAGCTAATGCGAACGCAGTAACTCCACTGGCGGTAGGAGGGCATGATCTGCCGCACGATAAAATGTATGAGGATATTTAATTGAAGAAATACCGACAAGAAATGAATGCTGGCCGTAAGGATGGAGGAGAACTCGAAGAGATCATGCGTTGTTTGGTGATTTACCTATAGCACTTCATCTGAGGTCTTTCAAGGGGGCACTTAACACCAGACTTAATACGAGCTTATTTAAAAGCTCATGAGTTATCACAAAATACTTCCCTCCTGTCTCCGCCTACGGGGCACGGAGATCTTCACATGAATGGAGCGTTCCCCGTGGAATGGGCGCGGTTGCTGCCTCAAAGCACTCCAAGTGTTCACAGCTGGTTGCACGTAACATCTAGGGCATTCATGCACAGCATTGCGTCTTCTTGTATTGGGAGAAAACCACTTTGCAGTAGAGAAGACAACGAATGCACAACATAGTCAATCTATTTTTCAAAAATTTTCTTGCGAAATAGAGCTTGTGTAGTAGAAAGCCTTTGTGCGTTGCTCAGCCCGCTACACTATAAGGAGTGTTACGACCAATAAAATCCTGTAGGCTAAAGACAAATCTATTGCGTATACCCCTGTGCGCCGCACCGTTTGGTTTGAGTTTGAGACCTGAAAAGGTGTGAGGCTAAGGGGCTCCTAATAAATTTTGGAACAGCGCTGGCCCTAATGCTGAAAAGTAGACTCTCCTGTGCAGACGTGGTAGCCAGAGCCACAGCTAACCAGCATACGAAAGAGTGCGAAAATCTCAGTTTGATACTACGCAGCTCAAAAGAAAAGACCATGACTTCAAAGAACTCGACCCCCCGAGCAGCGAGCATGAGCTCGTAGCTTGACCGTACCTTGCCATTTGCCCCTTAACTGTTGCTGAGTGTTGATGCTCCGCCGCTCCCCTATCTCTAGTTGTTATCTAGCAACTCTTGGGTCGCATTCTTGAGAGCGACTGATTTCTGCAGCTACTGGAGGGCGCTACGCCCTGCGATTCCGGAATGGTTCACTTACGCGCACGACTACCGCTGGGTGTATCAATTATTTAAATTCTACGAAGTGTCGTCAATTATGTATCAAAATAGAATAATGATTCACATATGTGGTAAATTCCTAAATGTCTCTCTGTTGCAGCATAAAACTTGGGGCTTCATTGTCTAGTCTGAAAGGACGGGCCCCACAACGTCAGCCATCGCTTACTGCATGCGACTACTGTACGCGCGTGGAGTCTGTTAATGCCTCCGACATTTCTCCTTCATGTCTGCACTTCGTTTGGTAAATAGTATTACTGGTTTTCTTATCTAGCCATTGAATGCTCTAGCGCAAGCCGACACAGACCCTGCACTCAATCCACGGGGGCGCCGTCGGCATTACGTTTTGCCTGTCTTCCACAGTCTGTGGGTTTCTTAGTGCCGAAGAGCCACAGGGCAATGAGTACTTTGGAGGCTCAGACGAGCGGGGCAGCCCCTTCGCCGGCTGGTGCCTCACTGCCTACTGAAGCAAGTGCGAGCTCCAACCAGCAAGGAGCAGCAACTGCAGCACCAAGAAAAGCAGCACAACCCCCTCAGAATGAATCCCTCCCTGCTTCAGCTTCCTCTACGTCTACTTCTTCTGTATCCTCATCTGGAGGCAGCGGGTCTATTGCACGCAAAAGGCTAGCGCAAGAGAGGTCTGCATGGCGCAGGGATCATCCCGCAGGTTTCTCTGCCAAATATGCGCCCATGTCAGATGGATCTGTTGGTCAGGATATTATGAAGTGGGTCTGCAAAGTTCCTGGGAAGAAGGTCAGCAGCTTCACGACGCTACTGTTGCCGTACCACATTGAGCTTACCTTCCTTCCCGTAGTATTATAGGCCCTTGCCCCTCTCTCGTGCACAAGGGCAAACTTCGGCAATAGCTAACTTTTCCTTCAAAGAACATTAGATTTGGGCTTTTTGAGCGCAGATGACTGCTGGGAGTTTTCATTTCATATATGCAACTATGCACATATCAGTACCTTTGTGTTCTGCTTTGCTGCTACAGGGCAGTCTGTGGGAAGGTGGTGAATACTCTTTAACAATGGAGTTTTCAGAGGAGTATCCTAGCAAACCACCGAAGTGCAAGTTCGCCCCCGTCTTATTTCATCCGAATGTATACCCTTCAGGGACTGTCTGTTTGTCTATCCTCAACGAGGACGAGGACTGGAAGCCCTCAATCACCATCAAGCAGATCCTGCTTGGAATACAGGTTTGGCTCCACAACTTTTAAACTTTCCGAATTCTCAGATTAGTTCTGTTCTGTGGCTCGCAGGGTGATTTATCGAGTGGAGGGTTTGTAGATGCTTCGGGTTTTGCTCGTTTGTGAATTACAGGATTTGCTAGATAATCCAAACCCGCAATCACCTGCGCAAGCAGAGCCATATATGCTCTACTGTCAGAATCGGGATGAGTACAATAGGAGGGTCAAGAATCAGGCAATACAGATGCGGCCCAAGGACTAAGCCACGTGCTGATTCCCTCAAAACATGGATATGTGGCCGGTTTTGTGCAGACAGGCTAAGTGGAATAACCCGATATAGGGAAACTAATTAGTGCCATGGGACGCATAAGCAGCTGGTGATTATCTCTAAGACTTATTTGCGTGCATGGAGGGTGAGCCCAAAGGGGCATTTTGCCAAGTAACGCCAACTGAAAGTTTCTGGTTTGCTTCCTGAGCTTCACGACCTGATTCTTTTTATCATGAAGAAACAGGATCGGAAATACCTGCAAACACAGCTACCCAAGGGGATTGTCGAGGTTTTTCTTGTTCAGCATTATTAAACTTCTTGGCAGTACAAATGTAGTTTGTTGGGCCATGTAGATTTTCGTGTTCAGAGTTCCGTATACCACTTACTCTGTATTCTTATTTGTCGCATAGGGCGTTTTATTGGTTCATTAAATGTCTTTATCGGAATGTGAGAGTCATTATGACATAAGCCATTCCAATAGGTAATTCAAGAACGTAAATACACAAGAGATCGGCAGGTTACGTGAATGGCACGCCAGGTCACAGAACCTCAATAACAGGGATACTATCCTTTTAATTTTACTAACTAACTCATGCCGGGTCAACAATCCTTGTGCGTAGGCCTTCGTTTAAGCCCATGAACTGCACAAGATAGTGCATGAGCTGGGCTGATAAAGAATTTTCGGAGGGCTGCTCCCTATCCGTCAGCAGCGCTACTCACTTGGCTAGAGCCAAGCTTAATTTCGTGGTATAAGTGGCCCCCACATCGACACAAGGAGACTAAGCGACCGGCGAATAGTACGTTGAGCAATCGCGAAGCTGAGGCATCAAATTGTGGCGCGGGTGTGTCAGATTTAAGCCGTTGAGCCAAATTACCATGAAGCAGAGACTCCCAATCTCGTTGCTAAATACTTGGCAAACAGCGCGGATGAGCAGTCCACTAGACATTCGATTATTCAGGAGCTTTCTTGAGTATATTTCATCCACATTGATAACCGGAAACCAAGCGCCGTTCCTCACTTGCACTTGCAGACTTTAGTATAGCTGTATGCAGTTTAGACTTGCCAATGGCCTAGCTACTCTGCAACGGAGAATTTAGAGGTTTAATGGCTCTATCAATCAGTGGTGGATAGCTGCCTACGTGGAGGACATCTTTGTATTAAATAGAGGCTTCCAAAAACACCTTCAGTACCTGGGGCGTGCGCGCCGGCTTTAAGGAGGCGAACAGACGCTCCGTTGATGCATTTCAGTAGGAAAACGCGCTCTTTAAATAGGACAAAGGAGGATTGTGGTGCAGCAAGGACGCTCATTGGCCGCCTTACAACTTGGCCTATAGTCTATCTGCCTCAGTAGGAGCATCGGTTCTGCATAACAATCGACGCCAGCGACGTAGCGGTGGGTGCTATTTTCTCTCCGCAGGATACAGAGTCTCCAAGTGTCAGAATTATTGCTTGTTATTCTCATCGCTTCACCAAACGAGCAGCGGTATCCAGGGCTGGAAAGTAAACTCAATGCGGTGTGGTGGGGAGGGAGCAAAATGCCGGCACTAGTCATATGGATATCATTTCCCTGTCCAGACCGGCCAACAGTCTCTTTTTCCGTCAATTGCTTTCAGGACTCCGGTTATCCGAAAGTTGTTCGCTGGCTTGACTGCTACCTGCAGTACTACTCTACAGCAAAGTATTCTGACAAACATGACCAACGCTGGCGACCGACATGCTCGCGTG